TGCGTTCCGGACTTGGGTTAAATTCATGTTGGTCGCTTCTATGACACTGTCCACCCATCTCATCCTTGTCGTCCCCTTCTCCTCTTGCCTTCACACTTTCCCAACATCAGCGTCTTTTCCAGGGAGTCTGCTCTTCTCATGAGATGGCCAAAGTATTAGAGCCTCAGTTTCAGGATCTGTCCTTCCAGTGAGCACTCAGGGTTAATTTCCTTTAGAATGGATAGGTTTGTTCTCCTTGCAGTCCAGGGGACTCTCAAGAGCCTCCTCCAACACCACAATTCAAAAGCATCAATTCTTCGGCGGTCAGCTTTCTTTATGGTCCAGCTCTCACTTCCTTACATCACTACAGGAAAAACCATAGCTTTGACTATTCGGTGTTTTGTTGGCAAGGGGATGTCTCTGCTTTTAAAGATGCTATTGAGGTTTGTCATCGCTTTCCTCCCAAGAAGCAGTCGTCTTTTAATTTCGGGGCTGCTGTCACCATCTGCAGTGATCATGGAGCCCAAGAAAGTGAAATCTGTCACTGCCTCCATATCTTCCCCTTCTATTTGCCAGGAGGCGATGGGACCAGTGGCCATGATCTCAGTTTTTTTTGATGTTGAGCTTCAGACTGTTTTTTGCACTCTCCTCTTTCACCCTCGTTACAACGTTTCTTAATTCCTCCTCACTTTCTGCCATCAGAGTGGTATCATCTGCATATCGGGGGTTGTTGATATTTGTTCCGGCAATCTTAATTCCGGTTTGGGAGCATAGTAAGTCACAATTAGAATAGACCCATTTGAATCAAAGAAACCTAGCCGCCTAGAGTGGTCCTGACCCAACCAGATAGGCGGTATATAAATAAAATAAATAATAATAATAATTATGGAGCAGACAACTAATCCTCATTGATTTGGTGGGTCAGTTCTACCACAATTTGCTATGCAAGCAGTAGGGTTTTGGCCAAAGTCTGGTTTAATTTCTCAGTGGTATCCTGATTCGGAAGTCATTCTCATGCTTATCTGAGATCTTTGAACTTTGAGATCATTTACCTGTCTCTAAAAGTAAAATGAATAGTTAATACAGTATCTCTGAATGAAAGTTCATTGTTTTTAGGGTTTTCTAAGTGCTGCATAAATCCTGATTGTTCATCATGAACTCTATGAATCATACACTGGGATTTTGTCCTTCTGCAACAATCCTTGGAATTTTCCAGACCACAGTCTTCTAGACTCCACCCTCTCTCCACAGTAGGCATGCTCCCTCCAGTGATCCCTTTCAGTTCCCTCTGTTCTGCTGCTGAAGCAATATCAAAAGTGTGTCTGGAGTGTCATGCCTCTTTTTCCTGTTGGTGACACCATCAGAAACTTTCTTACTTGCTTATTATTCTGCTGCCCTCCTGTTTTAACTGGTTTTCTCTCAAAAACAGTTAGTTCTTCATCATGGCTTCTGTGAATACACCCATGTGGGTTATAACAGAGCCTGCTCTGGTCCTCTCGGAATCTTCCAGAGCTTTTAGGAGAAAAGTAACAAAGTTTAGGTTGCTCCTATAGCGCATGCTCTGCCCGCCTCAGCCTTCATTTCCATTTTACCGCCGATGGTGTTGCAACCTCTCGCCTAGAGATTGTTAGAATTATATATTATTCTGTGATTTTTCTGCATTTGACGCAGACTATCTTACGATCTGTTGCCCCAGACCTCGGACTGTACGACTACTCTTCTCGTTACGGCTCTGCAAGTATTTTGTTGATTGCGGTTTTCTCGCCCTTTTCATCTGCCGCTTGGCGGCACGCTCCGTTTCCCATCTTAATCATTCAATTATTGGACTTCCTTTCTCAATCTTCACTTTATGTCCTGTTCTGGACCATTTAGTCGCTGTACCTCCTGTTCCCGAAAACTACCTTTTTCTGACGGGCATGACTTACGTGTATTCTGCCTGAGAGAGAGTCATCAACCCCATCTTTGTAAACACTGTAAGAACTTTACAAAGGCAGCTCTAAAGGCAGGACAACAACGACTAAAATTCTTCCTCTGGGACAAAACACTTTCTGTTTCTCAACCTTCAGAAATGGAAACTACACTGACCCCCTCATCAGTCAGGTCGGAGGTACGGGTTGCTTCACCAACCCCTCTTCCAGCTACTAAACCCACTGAAAAACCCAAGAAAAAATCGATTGCCCAGAAGCCATGTAGCTTGGCGCCAGCTCCTAGTTCTGCTAGTGACCTGAAACAGAAAAAAATCAACATCTAAAACCAAAGAAAACCCTAAAGAGCAACTTCTGAATGTGCCTTCTGTCTCGGCGTGGGTACCCTCACCTATTTTGGAAGACTTCTCGAGACCGAGAATCCTTTTCTGAGGCGGCTATACCTCTGCCACCTTGACAGCAGGATGTTTTACCTGTCAATGTTGGTCAGTCGCCTACCGCAAGCCAGCTAGTACATACACTTACTAGCTTATCAGTTGCCCATGACAGCCATGTTTCCATCGGGTGGGCTTCACCAATGCCTTCATCAGTGTCGATATCTTTAAGATCTGACTCTCCACCCTGAAAGAAGTCAGCTAAAACATAACATCTATCTACTCCTCAACGCCGACATTCTTGACGTGAAGTGGTTGTCTTACCTAAAACCTCTTGGTGCCGTCATAAACACAAATCCGACTACAATGTCGAACAGAAAACGTCTCGACGTCGAACAGATTACTCAGGGTCCGACTCTGAATACGAAGCCAACCGCAGAAAATCTCGGCGTTGGCGCCGATGGGATGAATCCGACTCTGATTCATCTTCGATGTCGGGAGGCTATAGAAGAAAGAAGAAGAGGTCTCGCTATACATATACCTCATCACCTTCATCATCATCTTCACCTCCTCCGAGACATCAACGATGAAGACACCTCGATGTCGAGATCCAAAGATCTTCTAAACATGCTGATAGGGTTGTGAATGTTTCCACCCAATTACGAAATACACAATCGACGTCGAAGGGGTCACCACCTGCCCATGAACAAACTTCTCAACCAGAAACGTTGAAGCATACTTTGAAAAGACTTCATTTACCATCTACATCAGAACAAGATCAGTTAATTTCCTTAGGCGTATCTGACCAGGTCTATTCAAGAGGTGCAAATCCTATTATAACAAAATGCCATTATCTGAGGGTCACTTGTTTTCTCTCTGTTGCTTGGAGAAATTGCACAACATATAGTCTGCTCCATCTGCAAGAGCTTTACAAAGGTCACCATAAATAACACAGTCCTGACTCAAGCAGTTTCTTTGTGCGAGGTCTCTGTGGTCTGAGGACTTTGTTTTGAAGTTGGTCAGGCCCACATCTAGGGTCTCCATTTGTGATACTCCCTGTAGGAAGTGCATTATGTAGGCTCTGACACAACTGGACCTGCATATCTCATTGATTCAGGGATCAATCCTATTGTCTCTCTGGACAAATTGTCCAAAGATACCCTGAATTTGAGTGCATTGGTATTGGTGGCATCTAGATTGCCAGTCTCCATCTCTAAAAAGAAGGGGAAGGCTCTGGATCCTAACCATCCTAGAATCAAGAAACCCAACAGAAAAGGGAGCTCTAAACTTACTCACCCCTTCACGGATTGCTGCCTTTTCATGGCGAAGGGGCTCAAGTAATTCAGAGAAGCTATGGACTATGCCTTGCAGGGACACCCAAGATGGACAGGTCATAGTAGAAAATTCTGACTAAACACGTTCCACCTGGAGCAAGAACTGGCAAGCCACTCCAGTATCTTTGCCAAGAAAACTCCATGGACAGAAACAAAAGGCTAAAAGATATGGCGCTGGAAGATGAGCCCCTCAGATCGGAAGGCATCCACATGCTACTGAGGAAGAGCGGAGGACAAGTACAAGTAGCTCCAGAGCTAATGAAGTGGTTGGGCCAAAGCCAAAAGGACGCTCAGCTGTGGACGCGCCTGGAAGTGGAAGGAAAGTCTAATACTACAAAGGAAAATACTGCATAGGAACCTGGAGTGTAAGATCTATGAACCTTGGTAAGTTGGATGTGGTCAGACAAGAGCTGGCAAGAATAAACATTGACATCCTGGGTGTCAGTGAACTAAAATGGATGGGAATTGGTGAATTCTATTCAGATGATTATCATATCTACTAATGTGGGCAAGAAACCCGTAGAAGAAATGGAGTAGCCCTCATAGTCAACAAAAGAGGGGGAAAAGCTGTACTGGGATACAGTGTCAAAAATGATGGAATGATTTCAATACAGTAGTGTCTTGACTTACGACCAGAATCCATTCCAGAAGCTGGACGCAACTCGAAATGATACGTGCTTCGAATCATAATTCGAAGCACCATTTCCCATAGGAATGCATTGAAATGCAATTAATCCATTCCGGCCCAAGAAAAAAATCGCACAAAAAAAATCACTGCACGACTCACTGCAAATGTGATTAATCCCTTCTGGCTGAAGGGTGGTTGGGGGGGGGGGGAAAAGAAAAGCAGACAAGCATGCGAGACCCATTGGAAATGCACAGAAAACAAATGGAGCAGATTGGAAACTCACAGAGAACAAAGGGGGCAGGTCAGAAATGTAAAGAAAACAAAGGAAAAAAGAAGAGAACCATGCAGGACCCATCGGAAATGGGGGGAAAACCCAAAAAGCAACCAACCCCCCAAGACCCATCAAAATGTGGGGAGGGGGAGCAAAAAAACAAACAAACCCCCCAAGACCCTGTCTTTAAAACTCAACATCCTACCAACTCATGAACCTCACCAGGTAGCACCAATGTCTTTTCTGTAGGTGTATATTTGTGTTGTTTGGTTGATCACATTACAAGAATGAATGCATTTTGAAATTATACCTGATGGCATTCTGCCATGTATAAGTGTTACATTTTCTCTTAACAATCTACGTATAGATATAGTGAATAAGTCAAGAGACAGTATGGTTTTCATTTTGTTTTTAAGTTTCTAAGTGAAGCATAAATAATTGCAGTCAAAGATTTAGTAACTATTTAAAACTTTTGTTCTTCTGTTATAGGGATGCTGGAAACATCAAAGCTGGATTAGAACATCTGGTAAGTTCTAATTTTCTCTTGGATATTTGCATCTTCTTTGATATCTGCATTCCAAATGAACACTTTTGAATGAGCTTTGAATACCTTGAATTGAGAAAGTCAACCATTTCCCAGAGGGTCAGCTTACTGTTATTATGTGAAGGCACTTACATTTTCATTTATCTTATGTTTCAAGGGATTTTAATTTTTTTAAATTACTTTTTTTGATGTAGAGATGAAATAAAAAGTTCTATAATCCTTGGATTGATGATTGCCTTAATTATAAACAAAAAGTTGTTTGGTGTTGGATTTTTGGCATATCCTGATCTAGAAAGAAAAAACTTATGTTTTGAAACACACATTTAAATTTTACAAGCATGAATATAGCATTTGGCATTTCAGTAATTTTAAACCCCAGTAAAAGTTCATCGTTTTCTTTAAGAATGGCTTTATATCATGAGCTGTGTTTTTTTTTAAATTCCATACACTTTATAAATATAAAGTATTCTGTATTCAGAGTTCTTTTTAACTTAATTGTATTTATTAGTGTCAGTAAAGTTGCTTAGCATTATACAGAGTAATAGCACAAAATATATCCAGTACTACTGTATATATATTGAAATAAAATATATTAAGTATAACATTTTAATAATAACTGTGAGAACAGTAAGTTGAATACGTAGCAATGATGTGGATACAAAACCCATTTGATAGTGTACATTTGTGTCTGTTTCTGTACTTCAAGCGTACATTTGTGTCTGTTTCTGTACTTCATTGACTTATAATTTCTTAAAACCTTGTTTATGAAGGGCAAAGGGCTCTCAGAAATTGCATTCATTGTGGTAGCGAGACTAAAGTGTGTGTGCTGATGGATATTTGGGAAAGCCTCTTTCCTTTGAACAAGTAACTTCTGTTTGCTCAGGGGACTTTCTCAATTCAAGCCGTTTTGTATAGATATGTAGCACTAAATCCAATATGATACCAGTGGTGTATATGGGACTTTCTTTTTATCTTTTCCCCAAGCCTGGTCCAGTTTCTTAGCCCTCTAGAACAGTGGTCCCCAACGTTGGGCCTCCAGATGTTCTTGTACTTCAACTCCCAGAAATCATGGCCTGCAGAGGTGATGGTAAAGGATTCTGGGAGTTGTAGTCCAAGAACATCTGGAGGCCCAATGTTGGGAATCACTGCTCTAGAACATGTTTTTGGACATATGACAAGCTGCCTTGTTCTTATTACATAGCTGAAATCTCATTTATTTTACTTTCCACAACTCTCACTCTTTCCCCTCACTTTTTCCAATTCCTCTGAGACACTGACAACTTTCCAAAAAATAAGTCCTCATTTAACTACTCTTAGTCTGAGCTTTCATCTGCCTCATAGTTCTTTGTGGCTTTAACTCAAATGAGAATTTGACTACAACTAAAACTGAACTGCTCTGTCTCAAATATACATTCTCATAGATCAGTTCTCATCTCCACAGCTAGACAACATGCCAACCAGTCAACACACAGCTCCAACCACACATTAGTGGTCTCAAAAAAACCTTTATCCATTAATCAGTACCAGAAAAAGTGCCCCTGGTCTCAACACAATGACTTGCTAAGTATATATTGGCTACCAAAGATTTTACAGACCTGTGAACTAGCTTAACTATGCTTCTTCATCTCTAAAGTCACTGCATAAGAGCTGTGCCATAATCAGCAGTGTTGCTTTGTGGTATTCAGCTACCACAGTTACCAGTAAGCAATTGATTCTGAAGACTTGATGGATGAAAACAGTAACTATATGTCTGAATCGGGAATATTAAAAGAACATAAAGCATTAGCATAATTTATAAAATCATATAAGAATTTGTTGCTTAGTCATGAAGTCATATCTGACTCTTTGTGACCCCATGGACCAGAGCACGCCAGGCCCTCCTGTCTTCCACTGCCTCCTGAAGTTGGGTCAGATTTCATGTTGGTAGCTTCAATGGCACTCTCCAACCATCTCATCCCCTGTTGGTAGCTTCAATGACACTGTCCAACCATTTCGTCCCCTTCTCCTCTTGGCTTCACACTTTCCCAACATCAGGGTCTTTTCCAAGGAGTCTTCTATTCTCATGAGATGGCCAAAGTATTGGGGCCTCAGCTTCAGGATCTGTCCTTCCAGTGAGCACCCAGGGTTGATTTCCTTCAAAATGGATAGGTTTGTTCTCTTTGCAGTCCAGGGGACTCTCAAGAGTTTCCTCCAGCACAACAATTGAAAAGCATCAATTCTTCGGCGGTCAGCCTTCTATGTAGTCCAGCTCTCACTTCCATACATCACTACTGGAAAAACCATAGCTTTGAACTATGCGGACCTTTGTCGGCAAGGTGATGTGTCAGCATTTTAAGATGCTATCAAGGTTTGTCATGGCTTTTTTCCCAAGAAGCAGACGTCTTTTAATTTCGTGGATTCTGTCACCATCTGCAGTGATCATGGGGCCCACTGTCTCCATATCTTCCCCTTCTATTTGGCAGGAGGTGATGGGACCAGTGGCCATGATCTCAGATTTTTTAATGTTGAGCTTCAGACCATTTTGGCACTCTTCTCTTTCACCCTCATTAAGAGGTTCTTTAATTCCTCCTCACTTTCTGCCATCAGAGTGGTATCATCTGCATATCTAAGGTTGTTGATATTTCTTCCGGCAATCTTAATTCCGTCTTGGAATTCATCAGCAGAAGTAGATGTTTTTCTGGACTCTCTGGCTTTCTCCGTAATCCAGCGCATGTTAGCAATTTGGTCTCTAGTTCCTTTGCTCATTCAAAATCTAGCTTGTACTTCTGGGAATTCTTGGTACACATACTACTAAAGCCTGCATTGCTAGCATGTGAAATGAGTGCAATTGTACTGTAACCATGCAATTACTCATATAAGAATACTCAAATAAGAATACTTAAGTAAAAAAATCCTTGCAAAATAGGATGTTCATTCATAGCCATTTGAAATATTTTCTGTTCTAATAGGGAATCTTCACAGATTCTTTTCCTAAAGGAATGTACAGTTGAAGATCTCCTGGTAAATTTGAGTAGATTACTGATATATTAATTTTATTCTTGACCTGTTATGGGAATATTGAGAAATCATTTGATTCCTTTTTTTGTTTCTATTCCTTTCTTTAAAAAGATGAATAGAATGTTATAGTTTCACAAGATCGTTTTAGGAAATTGTGCTTCATGTGAGTGCTTACTTCCAAAGAGTTGGTGTTCTGTCTAGAGCAGTTTGGAAAGGCAAACATCTCTGTATGACGATGGCTGAAATCTTTGTGGAATCTCTTATGAAGAGTTATGTTAATAAGAACAAAGTGAAAACATCTGACTTGCAAGTGATTTTGCATAGCAGTAATATTAGCTGAAGTGTTATCCTTTAACTCCAGTATGTTCCTTATTAGTTCTTTGAACTGTAATACTATTGAATGGTGGGGGCTATGGAATGTAAATTGTGTGTATTCCATCTTCCTTTCTTCTCTTCTCAAAAACCTTACCTGTGGCTTTTTCTAAACAAAAAGTTTGATTACTTTCAGGCTTTTTGTCTTATACTTTAGAATAATGACTAGGTTGTCCTTGTGGACAATACAACTCTGACTATTTTCAAGGTTGAATTGTAGACTGTCATTAATAGCTTGTTAGCCCCTCAGTGGTTTGTGTATGATTACTGCCTTTCAGCAACATAGACTTTTGTAACATGTTAATCAATAACCACTGACAGACATTGCTAAAAGCTCTTCTTAAGCTGGGCAACCTGTTTCATGTATTTCTTCCTTGTGGCCTGAAACATATGCATTTTACTGTGTTTGAGGAGCTAGTTCTGGAACCTTTCAAAGATATTGAATGTGGCCAGTAGCTCCATTCTTCTCCACTGTGCGTATTCCTAGATTTCTTTCCAAGTCCCTCAATTCCTTTTTGTCTGTTGACCAGGCAGCATTGTTGAGGAAACTGGCTGACTCATCTTTACTGGAGATCAGTTGTATATACTGTAGTTGTTGTTCTTTGTTCATTCATTTTTTTTAAAAAAAATATTATTAGTTTAGTAATTGTCTTTCTGTAGGTGATACACCTCCCATTGCCACCACTACCATATCACATCTTCTCCACTTTTAAAGAAATGTGCTGAGTGCAAAGCTAATATCCCATTGTTGGATGGTCATTCCAAGAGCCTCCTTTGCCTCAAAGTACTCAGGCCTGCAAGCATTGCCTTACTTTCACCCCTCAAGGCAGAAAAAACCTGGGTTAGTAAAGAGAGCTGTTATGGGAATGGGCAGTTTTTCACTGGACATACCGGCTAAACAGGAACCATTTAAATCAGTGGCCATCTGTAAATACCCCATATGTGCTACCAGGTCTTTGGCTGCTAAGCTCATGGTATCGACTTCCTGCCCTATAGTGGCACTGCCTATCTCAGTCCTCATTGTGTCAGTTCTGAGCACCTTGTGCCTCAGCATAGCTGTATCAACCAAGGGAAAACATTTTGGGATGACTCAATTTTGAAACTGAAGAAGTATAAGGAGCAGAGGGACAAACCTTGCCCTCCTGCCCCTTCTTTCTCCAGTGGGCAAGCATTTGTCCCCTCCTTCGTAACCTGGTATGCTTCAGTACCTTGCCTCCTTAATACTGGTTTCTGCTGCTTCAGTACCATCTCTCACAACAATGCCAACTCTGTGTCAACTCACTTGAGGTCAAGACAAGTCAGTGCAAGAACAGATTTTAATTTCTGAGAGTCATACGCTTGTGAAGTCCCTTCCATTAGTGTCAAGCCACTTCCTCCTCCCTGTCAAGGGTATCTAGTGGTTCTCCTTCGTGGTCTCTGTGAATACATACTAATGGGTTAATCTGCGCTCGAGCAGAGCAGTTTAGGAAACTTCCACAGCTTTAAACACTTGGTGCCAGGACCTCCCCTACACCTGGCTATATAACTCCGCCCCGGCACCTAGCCCTCAGTTCTTTTTTCCACTGCAGCTGTAGTAGCAGCTCTGTTTGGAACTTTGCAAGTAAAAACAAATT